TTTTTGCCAGGGTAAACAAATACCACTAAGCGATAATCTTAACATGAAGTTGGACTACCAGTTCTATAAGTTCTATATATACACTTAGATGAAGATATCATTTGTGTTGTAGAAGTTAAAAAAAGTGACATTGATCAGGGCGTGGCTCAATGCATGATGCAATTACATGCATCTTTTGAAGTAAGTACTAAAACTTATCCCACATCAATTTTGTCACTGCATGGATTTAACATTTTAATTTTACAGACAAATAGAAAAAGAAGACAACCTGACTTATTTACCACCAAATTATATGGTATTGTCACAGATAGTTGTATGTGGTATTTTTTTGAGCACGAGCTCAAAAACAATGTACCAAGTTTTAAAATACATTCTAAAAATAGTATGGTAATGGATTGGAATGAAAAGGAATTTAAGAAAGGAGCAGATAAGATTTTAAGACAGATTTTGGGGCTATTGAATAATGCACATGATACAAAAGACAATCATACAACAACAACACTACACTACAACAACAATGCTTTAGGGAACACTCCAGGGTTGGCAAATGTGTGGTCCATTGGTGGTCCATTGATGGTCCATTGGGTCCATTAGTGTAACATTTTAACTATATTTAGTATTTTATTAATGACAATGGACCAGCTCAAAGTCCATCAGTTCTCAATGGACCAGTCAATTTGCCAACCCTGGAACACTCTGATACTTGTTAGAAAAAATTAATGTATCAAAAAAAGTTATTTTAATTATTCTTTTGTGCCAGGGTTTTTAATTAGATACACATTCAGATTTTAATATTCTGCTTTGTGATTTTATGCTAAAATAAAAATATTTATATTATCTTATTGGAGAATTAATTTATTAAATGTTCACTTTGTCTGGTTTTGTTGCAGCATGCCCCATATATGAACTAAGATCTGAACAACATTTTGCTGAACCAAAGATTTCGTTACCTAATTGAATTGCTGATGAAGTAATAATTAAATTTCTAACTAAAATAGCATCTTCATTTGGTTTATTATCACCTTCTGCATAAAATAAAAGATTTAAATTACTATAAACTTTTTTATAATATTCAGCAAGTAGCTGGCAAGTTTGTAGATTTAAAATTTTTTCCTTAAAAGGTTTAATCATTCTTCTGGGAAATGGTTCTGCTCCAGTGATTATTTTATTATCTTTGATTTGCAATACCATATTTCTGAAATCAATGCAATCTTTAATTGTAAAATTATAAGAACTTAATGTTCCTTTATTTTCTTTTTTAAAAAATTTCAAAGTATTTAAAGATTTATCAATATAATCTGGAAGGCTTGGTTGTAACTGATTAACTGTGTTATGTATCATCATTTGATCATTAATGATGTTAATCAATTCTAATTCTATGTTTCTATTAGATTTAGGTAAAGATGACAGTTCTCCATTTAAATGTTCATAAGCAAAACACCAGAAGCCATACACAGGTCCATAATCTAACAAGCAATCCCTGATATGCAAATGAAGATGCATATTAGGTGTAAAGATTTTTTTTCCATATAATTTTTCTACATTTTGTAAGAATTTAACTATATTTTCATGTCCTTTATTGATATCTTCAATTGTAATTATTCATTTTGTCCAATAATTATTTGCATTTACAAAATATTGCCAACATAAAAGATGCTCTTTAGGGAGAAAATTTCTTAAAATAAATGTAGAATAAATTGAAAGCCATGAATGCCATTGGTCTGCTGTAAATGAAGCAAACCCTGACTGTATTTTATAAGGTATTCTTCCAATATCAGTGGGTGGAGGAGTTTCATTTATGATCTTTTGAATTTTAATAAATTCATTCTTATTGATTAATTTTTTATTTTCATTAAGCCATCCATACTCTAAAATTCGTTTAGTTGTACCCAGATAAATATTATGCATTATATCAATTGGTGTAAATCTAATAACATCAAAATATTTTAATTTTAATAAAGGACTCCATCTAATTCCAAATTCTTCAAAAAATTTTTTCCTGTTGTTTGAACTTTTCCATAAATTTGCCTTTTCTCTGTGTTGTTCTAAATTTCTTGGGGTTGATGGTTCAATTCCAGAAAAATCTAATTTGGAAGAGTTTAAAAATGATTTGAAAATTTTTGTGCATTTATGACAACCATGTTTTGAAGAATGTGAAGCAAATCCACAAATCTATTGAGATTAAAATATAAAAAAAAGATAAATAAATTTATTGATGATAATATTATTGATAATTCTATTAAATCTCTATACCTTTCTTCCTGCAGGTATATCACATGAGACTAAAACCAATGCACCTTTATAAATTTTTCCTATTGGATAATCCCTTGTGATAAATAATTTTCCAAACCATAACTGTTGTAATTCTTCAACTAGTGGTTCCAGGTATTAAACCAACAAAAATAATATTTTCTTTAAGATATCTTAATTCTCTTGGGAGATTAAGTATTGATAGATAAATGGCACCTACACTATATTGAACATGTTTATAAGGACAGAACCAATCTATATTTAATGAAAATCCTAATCTACCTTCAAATGTTTCTTTTATAAAAAATTTATTTCCATCATCATCTTTAAACTCATTCCATATTCTACCATCATAAATATCAGCCAAAGTGTTTCTGGGAATATCTTCACACTTATGCCAATGATTTAAAATCTCTTCAAAATTATTTTGCATTAACATTAGCTGAATTCTCTCAATAATTGATTGATATGGAAATATTTTAATTGGCTAGATGGGTGTGAATATAATTATAATAAAATCATAATAATAATTTTTGAATTTAAATTTAATATTTAATATTTATATTAATATAATTATTTACCTTAAAAATATAATTTCCTCCACTTGTTCTTACTTTTTTTTTTAACTCTTTTTGACAATCCACATTTTCACAAAGATAATTTTCCCCATTATTTTTTATTTTGTTATTCAAATGTAATTCATGACATGATGAACAAACTATGTATTCACATAGTTCTTGCAAATTATTTAATTGTTTTTCTACCAAATAAAGAGATCCTGGAATATTCTTATTTAAATATATGCCAAGTATATTATTTAAAAATTGCAAAA